GAGACTTATTGAAACAGGTAGTTGGGCCCTACCCTAGGAGTTTGTGATTTGTCTTTAAGTCTGGGATTGTACCCAACAATTTGCATGTTCTAACTGAGAGGGAGCAGCTATGAACTTAATTTCTTTTATTACTATTTTCCTTGCTGTGCCTTTAAATAGTAGTGGTAGTGGCAAAAATAAAAGAAGATAAGAGAGCTGGGGAAGAAGGAAGACATGGAGGAGAGGGGGGAGGTGGCAAGAGCTGCAGGAAGCTCCAAGGTCATAAATCGAGTCAGGTGTGCAGCTACAGTCCAGGTGGCAGCAACCAATCAAAAGTCCATACACTATCATTCCAGCTAAGACCCTAACCACGGAAAGGCAGTTAGCCTATAGAAACCCCAAGACCTTCCTAGTGACCAATGAGTGACCAGACATAAGCTTTTTCTTCAGCTGTCTTCTTCAGCATTTTATTGCAACCCATAGTACTTTGCGAGAAAGTTATAAAAGTTTCCCTGGCCTTTGTTTAGGGGCCACTCCCTGCTGTTCTGCTTTTCTCTTGGGAGTGACCCAGGCATATGCTTGAATAAACTTCTTGCTTCTTCCATGTGTGAGACTGGACTCTCAGTGGTAATAATTTTGGCCCTAACACTAACAAATACTCAAGTTACATTGGTGCTGCTGGTTTGTGGCCCACACTTTGAGAACCACTGGCGTAGAGCATCAGGTAATTTTTTAAAGTTCTTCAGGATAGGAATCTTGAGCCAGTTGCAAGTCATTAGTCTAAAACAGTCATTCTCAGCCTTTCTAGAATCATTTGGGGAAATTAAAACCAAACAAAACAAAGATGATGATTGATACTTGGGTTTCCACCCCAGCAATTATTTTTAAATTGATTTTGGGTATAGTCTGGGCCCTGGGATTGTTTACACCAGGGGTCCTTAAACTTTTTAAACAGGGGGCCAGTTCACTGTCCCTCAGACCGTTGGAGGGCTGGACTGCAGGCCCTGGGATGAGTCGGCTACTAAGCAGGACAGGCAGCGGCGCCAAAAACACCCGGTGGGCTGGATAAATATCCCAGGTGGGCTGCATGTGGCCCGGGGGCCATCGTCTGAAGATGCCTAATTTAAACTTTAGCAACATATTATTTAAATGAGCCATGCCCCAGGTGGTTCTAATGTCCAGCCAAGACTGAATGTCACTGCAAATTTTCCACCTTCTCAATTCCTATTACTGTTTACCTCACCCCTAACTTGCTGTCTGTGAGCAATGGTTTCCTCCGACTTTAATGTTTTAATACCAGCTACTGTTCATTGAACACTTAGGATGTAATAGGCCCAGTGGTGTGATTCACCTCTTTTCCAGTTTTTTGGTTGTTTCATTTTTGTTTATGGAATAGTTATGCAAACCCTGCATCTTCTAGAATCAACGTTGTCTTCTAACTTGTGGTTCGTATATATCATGTTTTATTCTGTTTCAACTGGTTAGAAGATCAAGGCAGGGAAGGAAGAGAGGGAGAAATGTACATTCCAGAAAAAAACACTGTTCTTCTGATCTATTGAAACATATCACACTTAGTACTTGAGACTCTGTGAATCTTGGGGGGTGTTCTCCAGAAATGGACAACGTTTCAGTGTTTCCAAGAGGAAAATTCCAAGAAAAACTATGACCCCATCCTAAGGCAGCTGATTGTCCTCTTGCCCTTGATGAACGTATTTCTCCATTTCCAACTAAAAAAAAATTGCCACTGATACTTCCCCCCCAAATTGCTTCCTCTGGAACAGATCAAAATACCATTAAGCACAAGGATATATGTGTTGTTTCAGGCGAAGTGCTTTCCAGTTAAGGTGATTTTAAAAGTCACATTCAATCATTTTTACCTGGATGGTTGGTAAATGTTTCCTTTCAGGGCGCTACTGCCTGCTTTCCACCAGATGGCACTGTTGTATACGGCTAGACAACCCTCTCCTGCCGAATGGCCTTTTCAAGGCTAAAAATGTATGCCTACAACTTCCATTCCTGAAAATACTATTTGTCTCAAGCTTCATGAGATCTGAGACTCATCAGGAATTTATCTTTGACCTGAGATCTGTAGCTTAGCGAGGCGTTCAATAAATGGTATGTGATCGAGGTCTCCCAGATGAATGAACGTGAGTCTGAGTGTATCAGCTTCACGTGAGCCAAATGCCAGTGGGACCCACAGCTCCTACAACTCCAAGAAGGAAGGAAACAAGGGCCTTCACACTGTCTTCCTCTGTGGTTGAAGATTTCAATACTGCATTTTTCTTTTCCCCACTTATGGATTTTAACACGATTCAACATAATGAGGCCTTTAAGTCAATTCAACCTAATGAGTGAGGCCTTATCACCCATCTCCTCACCCAAGCATTTTCCTTCTTAAAATGAACAAAACAGCTATTCTGATCCTGCCATAAAATACAAAATTAGTTCCAAAAAAAGAAAGGCAGAGGAGGTAACAATTAATAAAACTAGTCCATGCAAATGATATGTTATCAGAAAAACGTCTGGGCAGTCTTTCAAGTCTGATAAGCGCATTATGGAGAAGGGCCTTGTTGGGGAAAGTGGTGGGTGAGAAGGTTCCACAGTGAGGTCAGAGATCTCGGTTCAACCTGAGCTAAAGCACTGACCTCCCCCAGGTTGCTCTCTGCTTCAGTGTCCTCCCCTTCAGGGAAGAGGACCTGAGGGCAGGGCTCCAGAGACCCGTCTAGCTCTGCCACAGTCTGCCTCTCTACATTTGTTCCTTATATTATGGCTTATACGATCATAGTGTAAATGCGTAAAGGCCAAGCAAAGGAGTCTATGTCTTTGCTTTGAAAGGAAAGAAAGAAAAGAATTGACTTCAAATGATGGCAAAATGACAGGACTTTTTTGTTACGTTTACTTTGGCAGCAAATATAAATATCCCTCTGTATTATCTATGGCTTCTGTTTTCATATAGCATCAACTTTCTGAGCAATATAGATTTACACTGTATTTTTTAAAATTTCGTATGAAGCCAGTTGGGGTAACATTTTGGTCTTTAGGCACAGGACTTGGATTACTAAGGTACAAAGCTTTGTTTGTAAGGATATTAAGTTTTTCAAGAGTCCTTTCGCATTATAGACTTCTACAAAACTATGATCAAGTTGTTGTGAAACTACCAAATAGGATCTGAACAAAATGCATCACCATGATTAGATTGATAGCAACTAACCCACAGAATCAACATGATTGAAAAAATCTGACTCAATTAGGGCCAAGTCCTTCGGCCACCTGAACCTTTACCCAATAAAATGGTTAGGAATTACCTTTGTGATACCCAAATGAAAACCAACAGACATTACAAAAGCATATCAAAAATAAAAATGAGTATCTATTAAACAACTAACTTTGTTCTGAGCGGAATTGGGGTTATTTAGTTCTATAATGTTAAAGAACTCGTAAATACCCAATCCACACCTGCTAATAATCATAAAGAGAGTTTTAAAAATCTGACGTTAGTGTGAAAAGATCATTTATGCCTTATCTCCAAATAATAATCTCCAAAAACTGAAGCAGAAGAATCAGTTACCAATCTACCTATTGGCTACCAATAACATAACTTTAGTGTTTTCAAGAGTCAGACCATTTTTATCCTTATTTTAAAAAGCGAAAGTAAAACTTCTGTTATTAGAAGGAGCAATCTGCCACCAGGGGCTGCCTGAATTCCAAGCACCTGCTTTCTCTGGTCTGGAGGCAGATGGTACATCATAAAAATAAAAGCCATGAAAAAAATGTACAGAAAGATATTCCCTTTAAAACTCTTTAGGAGGTTCTTTTTCCTGAAATCTAATACTATAAACATACATGTTTTATGTTAATATTTTCGCTCAGCATTTGGGGACTGAAGCAGACGCATGAAAAAAGCCTCTTTTGCTTGATTCATGTACCTGTGTTCACATATTTCCACAGGATGGGAAAACAGCTTTTAACTTATAAGCACCCAGGGCAGGATGGTTTATTTTTGTAATTCTAACAGGTGCGCTCAACAGCACCAGCTGCCGTTCTGTCCTCTGATCCTACCAGTATCTGCTACTCTATTCTTTTTAAGGACTCAGGTGGTTGCTCAATGAGATAACCTCATGAATATTTGTAAGACTTGTGTAGATGAGCGAGTCTGCAATAAACTGGCCCCACGATATGCTTTTTTACAATAATTATTTAGGGTAGTGCTTCTCCAACCTTAGATGCATCAGAATCCCCTGCAGGGCTTGTTAAAACACAGATTTGTTGGCCTGACTCCCAGAGATTCTGATTTAGTAGGTCTGGGGTGCACCCTGGGAATATGCATTTTTAACAAGATCCCAGGTGAGGCTGATGCTGTTAGTCTGAAGACCACGCTTTGACAACCAGTGATATGGGGGCTCCTTTTGGAGTGTTAATATCAGTGAAGAGACTCTGGCCTGTCTCAGCTTCTCAGTTGCTATCCATTTTCTGCTGAACACATATGAAATGTGTCATTTGCTGATAGCCAGATGTTGCAGTTACAACACACAAAGATGCTTAAGAAGCAGATGGAGAGATCTGTTGAGGTGAGGCTATTTCATGCTGAGGGCATCCAGAGTCATGATGCTGAGGACACCAAGAGTCAATGGATGCAGCATGTTTGATCAGTTAGTGTGCAACGTCCCAGGCCACCAGGAGGTACTGTAACATACACACACGTGGTACTGTTCCTACAAAAATGTCTGGTAAAATCTGACAGATAATCATCTTATCCTTACTAATTTTCATCTTAGAATTTAGACTTAGCTCTTACAGATACTATATTCTTTTATTTTAAATCTACAAGCGTACTTCAATCGTTTGAAGCGATTAAATTTTGACAAAAGGTTAATATGGAGCAATGGGGCAAAGCTTACTATTTATGTTCATCTCATTTCTCCTAAGATCACACTTGGTTAAATTTGAAAGCATGGCTCTGTCAGGAAACAGCATCGTAATTTTAAGATTTACTTCAAGCACGCTTTGAAATGTAAACATACCTTATTCAATTTCACAAAAGATTCCAGTCCGGCTTCCAAGGGATTTGTATCACAGTTCATCTAAAGAGGAAACACATATTTTAAATCTTACATGAGTGCAAATTATTTCAGTAACATCACTTTCACATGTTTTTTAGGAGAAAGAATACTTTTTGACACAAATTCTGGAAAAGGCAAGTTAGAGACTGTCTCTAAAATTATTTTGTATCCAGAATTCAAATGTAGACTGAGCAAATGCTGTCATTTGAATATAGCAAATATAGAAACTAAAATCCAGTTTGTTCCCAGAGTTCTTTCATTTTAATAAACATCTGAGGGAGAGCATGTGACATTCCTTCCAGAAACAAGGCGTTCACATTTTTAACATAATAATTTTTCATAATTCAGCTCTGAAAAGTTATTCAGTAATTTATGTATAGTTCGTCAAGAATCAGGGTAAGGTCAGGGAAGAAAGGATGGTAGGAAAATGACTTCAGGACAGGGAAAAGGAAGACATCTTTTCAATGATTAAGTCACTACAATATACATCAAACTGGGGCTAAAGCCGCTATCTGCTAATAGCCTTGAAGTTAATGGTTTTTGTTTGTTTTGTTGTTCTCTTTGCTGTTAAGTCAGAGAACTAAACACTCCAACGAAGCTTTTAAAGACAACACAGCACGCACTACACAAACCAAATGGATATCAGATTGTTACATGATATAAAATTTTGTCTCATATTTCTTACTCAATTTGAGCTTCTCTAAAATTATTTTTTATGTGCTCAAAGTAGCAGAATTTCTTCAAGGAAAAAAATAAAAAGCACAGAAGACTGATTGCTGTAGCACCACCAGAGGGCGCCCTGGCACTGCCGGGAAATTGGAGGAGACAAGGTCTCCAGAGGAAGAGGCAGGGAGAGGAAGGCTGAGAAAATGGGCTGTGGGCTGCCTCATTGCTTGGAGAGTGTGGGGACAGAGGTGTCCCCTGTTTCTCTCCCTGCAGCTGGCCTCCCCTCAGGCCCCAGAGGCAGGTAGAGAAGCCCCCAGCAGAGCGCCTCCCACATCTGAGGGAGGGACAACTCAACCTGACCTTGCAGAGGGCCCTTCCTCCTTCAGAGGCCAGGGCAGCCTGTGGCTCCACCCCCAAGCCCACTTGCTCCTGCCCACAGTCTAAATGCCCAAGGCTCCCTGCCTGGGCTTTCACAGAGGCTGTGCCCTCCAGTTAAATTCCCTGTTCTGTGCTTGGCACTTTATAGGCTATCTCTAATATCTATGGTAATTCTGCGGGATAAATATCCCATTTTATAGAAAAGCAAACAAGGGTTCTACAGAGGGTTAGGATAAATTCAAACCCGTGGGTCCCCACTCTGAGTTCATCTTCGTCATTATCCCTTTTCTCATCTCTCAGGCCCCAGGGTCTTCCAGAGAGACAACTAGTGAATCCTGAAACATTAATGGGTCCAGAGACAGCCTGCCACATTAAGGGAAAACAGGAGAACAGAGTTTGAACCAGTCTGGCCACTTAGCTCTGTCATCTGGACCGAGTTGTCTTCTGAATTGTACTTAGTGTGATCAATAATGACTTCTTGGAGAGTCAAGAAAATAAATGAAATCATGCATAGGGAAATGTATAAATGGCAAAAAGTTATTAACTCTTAATGGTAGGAGACTCTTACCATTATTTTATATTTCTTTTTATTTGACTCTGTGGTTGATTTTATTAGTTACCATTATTAACAGTGGAGGAAGCCTATTAAGGGTGGGGGAAGCCTACCCCTCAGAAAGAAATGTTAATTCACCAAAAGGTGCAAGATAAGGAGAAAATGAGGATGGACAACTCAACAAAAGAGGAAAAACAAAGGTAAAAGGTATTGCTCAAATTCTGTGGGGTAGGCCGGCTCCCCACAGGCAGAGATGTCCGGGGACCTTCGCCAAACAGTAGGAATTAAGGCAGAATAAATATTATGTCAGAATTTCACAGAGCTTTTGATTGGGAAATTGAGGAGAAAAACCTCTTTCCCTAGTAAAAATGAGGTTATCTAATAATATATCATTTCTCTTAGAGCCACAGCCAATGTTAGTGCAGTTAAAACTAGCCCTTATGCAAAAATCAGACACAATAAACATAAAATTTTCATGAAGATGCTAGCATCTCAAACCTCTGACCCCCAGGCTCTGAAAGCTTTCTCCAGTCTTAAGGCGTTCATGGCATATGTTCCAAAATTGTCGATTTCCTCCTCCTGGCCTGCATTCATGATAACGTCGTAAAGTGCCGCGGAATCTTCTTGTCTGTGGTACAGCTCCCAACCCAGCTCACCTGAAATAGATCCACAGGTGCCATACCAGGGTAAGAACCATGTTCACTAGGTCTAATGTGCATTTGCTCAAACACACGGAAGCAGAATTCCACTTATGTAACATTGACCTTGCCCATGATTAAAGACCAGTTCATGAAAAGCTGCAAGCACAGATGCGTTTGTGCCCCATCCTGCCTCCCTACAGAGGGCAGTAAATGGGACACCTCTTCTCATGGCACAGGAAGACTGTAATGCAGGAGTTAATCTCTCCCCTGACCTCAGCTTCATAATGAGACTTGAGTGTTTTCAAGGACAATGATGTTAAGTGAATAATTTGCAGGGCATAGTTTATCAAGATAAAGGTTACAAAGTTAGAAACCCCGACCCCAACCTCTTGCCTAAGAATCACAAGGTTTAAAAGTACAGCCAACTGAGAATTATTCAATTTGGCTTCATTGTGGGACAGCCACAGTCTCTAACTCCCCAACTCCCCACTTCTTCCCTATTTGATCATTTCATTTGCCATTGGAGCTGTGGTCAGAAATCAAAAGAAATGAAACCAACCCAAACAGTCCTACTTATTTTTTTATTCTGGTCATCAGTTTGCCAAAGTTGGGTGGAAAAAAGAACACAAGTGTAGAATGGAAGCCCAGGAGAGAGCTATGGTTTTTAATACTGTGTGTTCTTCTTGTTCCCTGAAGTCAAGGGTGCATGGTGATATGTTTCTGCAGGATGACACCAGAACAGAAGCAGCAGGTAATCCAGCGCATGCTTGGGCAGGAAGTGTTCCTTCTGTGAAGGAACAAGAAGGTCTACAGGAAGCTAGAAGTGAGCCCGGAGCACCACTGGGGAACTGAAGAGCATTCATTCTTCTCTGTATCAATCCCTACCATGTGCAAGGATAGGTGCTAGATGAAGACTTCCTAGTGAACTTACAGTCTGGAAGGAAAAGATGGATGCCTGGCAAAGCTCTAGGCGAGGTGCCCGATACATTCAAGATGGTCTCTGTGGGAAATTTTATCTCCAAGAGACCAGCTCGAATGTCCAGATAGAGTCTGCTGCCTCAGTAGTCCACTCTTCCAACAGCTATACCCTTCCCACTTTATCTGCCCTTCCAATGGTAGTCAGCTACGGGACTGGAGCAACAACTGGAACCATGTGGAACCACTCTCCAGCCTAGAAACCAACAGACAGACTTGTTCTGAGAGTTGAGTGGAAGACGCCTTCCTTCAGTGGCACAAGGACAGAGAGTGAGTCCGAGCGTGTTGTGCACATGCCCACACACATTTCTGAGAGCATCGCCTTCTGAATTTCAGAGACTTACTCTGGTGGTTTTCCAGTTCTTACCCGTGTAAGATATCCTAATAGCGGTAACAGGAATGTTGGAAACTTTGAAAGACTTGGTTTGAAGAAACTTGAAAGCATCATCACTCAGATCTTCAGAGGTCAGTTTCTGAAGGACCTTCCTGGCACGTGGCCCTGCAACTCCAAGGACTCCAAGCTCATCGGTTATGTTTTTGATTTCAACATCATATCCACCGTTGACTGCCTCTTCTTCAATCCACCTGCGTTGAGTCATAAACACTGTTTGAATATTGCTTGAATAAAGCACTTTGGTGACATTATTTCTCTGAAGACATGCTATGTGGCTAGAATTATCACAACGTCCCCAGCGTGTCATTTCATAAAATCACCTGATTTTTAAAGCTGAGGAATCCAACTTGCTGAGATGTTAAGCTGTTTTCTTTAAATCTTATAAATCTGGGGGTAATTTCTCACAGTACAGAATGATCCTTCCATTTAAATGAGCTCTGTCACATAGTTCTTTTAAACAGTGACAGAGTTATTGCATTTAAGCTAATGATTCCTCTTCAAAAAATTAATTTAAATCCAAATTTTCCCTAATACCTGTACACAGGAGGCACACTTTTGTTGCTAAAGGTTAATAATGTGCCTGCCACCAGACACATAATTGCTCTGACAATCATAAGGAAAAGATAAAAACTCGAGTTTCGATTTCTCAGTCTTGATGAGTGATTGGGACCCAGCTATAGGGCTGGTTTATAATTTATTGAAGAGTCCCTGGAGCAATGTAAATCTATCACAAAATGTTCATCTGGATTTACACAGGCTAAGCTATTAAGATGGTCCCCAATCCATCTTGGATTAGAGCATATAATTTGCATCACTTTATACTAAGGTGAGAATCTGTTAGAATAAAACATTTATTAAATAATAATATTTCAAACACTTTTGGAATATTAAACTAATAACTGTATAGTAGACTAAAGATTCATGTTGACTTGATGGGTCAACAATTAGGTCTGGCTGTGGGCCAGAAAGCACAAAGCATCACAAAAGAAGACAAGCCAGGCATGGTGGCTCACACCTGTAATCCTAGCACTCTGGGAGGCTGAGGCAGGTGTATGGCTTGAGCTTAGGAGTTCCAGACCAGCCTGAGCAAGAGTTAGACCCTGTTTCTAGCAAAAATAGAAAAACTAGCTGGGTTTTGTGGCGGGTATCTGTAATCCCAGATACTCAGGAGGCTGAGGCAAGAGGATCACATGAGCCAAGGAGTTTGATGTAGCTGTGAGCTATCACACGACGGCACTCTACCCAGGACTACAGAGTGAGACTCTGTCTCAAAAACAAAACAGAACAAAAAAGGAGAAAATAACTTAGGGAGGCAGTTTCCTGAAGGGTACTGAATGTGGCTGTCTGAATCAAAAAAAGACTGGCTTAGACAAGTTACTTTAGTCCACACCTCAGTTTCCTCATCTGAAAATGGCAACAACGTATATTTTGAAAAATATTAAGAGAATTAATTGAGGTCATATCTAAAAGGGGTTCTGGCACATTGATTATGCCTAATAAATAGGAGATAATATTGTTAGAAGCAGTAAACTCTATTTGTAGATTACCTTGGGAGTGGGGGCGGGGGACATGAAGTTTATTTGAAATGATCATGTTTAAGAAAAATAAAGTTGTACTTTGAAGTACTGGTAAAAGAAAAACTCAGTATAAGATTGAGTCCACATAAAACATGTAAAAAAATTCTCTTACATAAGTGGTGTACACTTACCTAAGATCATGAAGTTCTGATCCAGAGCCAGTTATTAACAGAAACTCCCCAGGAGACTGGTGAGAAACAGTCAACTCAGCGTACACTCGACCCTTTGGTGTTAACATGTGACTTATATTTGTAAAACCCACCTACACAAAGGAATTTAAATTTACCGTAGGATGAAGTAAAAATCTTATGTTAAAAATCTTTAACACACATTTAAATAAAACGTGAGTGTTAACAATGAAATTCACCTGACTCTGATCATTTGTATCCGTTGTATGAACTACCTATAAACGTCAACCCAATATTAAGTTGAAGTTCTCAGTTTAAACAATCATTTCAAACTATTTGTCATAAAAAATTACACTTCATTTAACAGTAGTCAATTTTAAGTTCCCAGTGACACAATTGAGAAAAGTCATAAGGTCCTTGGATGACAATTTGCTCCACAAAAATTTAAATTTGAAAATTAGCTTCTGTACTTTTGGTCAGTTGAAGAGTTCCAATGTTCACACAAGTCATTAGGTGAACTATTAAATAAGATAACATTGGTTTGGCGGGGGAATGAGAAGATAGAGAAGTAAAGAGGTCAGAATCCTGGACCTTGTACCCCTCCAAGGCTATTTACCTTTGGAATGACATTTGCAAAGAGACGGTCCAACAGCCTAATGGAATCTCGGCCTTTGATATTAAACTTGCCAAATGGGGACAGGTCAATCACCCCTACTCTTTGCATAACCTGTTTATATTCACAGCCTACCGGCTCAAACCAGTTTGTGCGGCGGAAACTGGGTCTGAAACACAATGTTTAGTGTCATAAAACAGTTGTCATTCATTTTTTTAAATTACAGAATAAGGATATTTTAATAAACGCTATCCATCTAGGAAATCCTGCTAGGGGAAGAGAACCCTCAGCCTCCCATTCAGATCTGCGGATACGCATGTATGTGTGCTGCACTCTGACCATTTAAAGTTACTCCTCTATCCCTTTATCCATTCCACGGTGAATAAAGTGTTAATTAAGTAGAAAACACGGTGACCATGTGGTCTCTTAGATCTGGAAAAGAGCTGAGAAGTCAACCAGTCCGATGGTTTTTCTACCTTAGTTGCACATTAGAATTAACTGGGGAGCATCTAAAAAATATGAGTGGTTGGGCATAATTAAATAGAAAATCTGGGAGGCGAAGCTGTCTAATCCAGGGCTTCTCCATCCTTAATGTGACTTCAGATCACTTGCACTTGTTAAAGTCCAGACTCTGATACAGCAGGTCTGAGGCGAGATCCCACAGTGTGCCTCCTAACAGGCTCTCCGGCAATTCCCACCACCCGCTTCCCACCCGGACAAAGCAAGGATCTGGTCCAACGTCTTCATTTTTCAGAGAAAAGGCACAGAGTAACTTGTGAGGCCTTTGCATTAGTTAATAACAATGCTGGATTACTAAGGGTCCTTTCTACTGTCTGAAGAGGACCTCCAAAGTAGTATTTTAACTTCAGAGCAAGTTGCTAAGTCTGCAAAATAAGCTTTCAGTAGTTTAATTATTAAAATGTTAAAAGAAGTGCAGGCCACATCTAAATAGCACGAAGTGAAGAATAGAGCTGGCATTTATCAGAGTCATTTAGGAAAAAGCAAACAAGGATTTGGCCACCAAATAATCTAGATTGGCTGCCTATAGAGCCCAGATGCATTCATTCATTAACAACTGGCCAACTACCATACTTTGTACCATTGAGGTCTGCTCTTTAAAAAGTCATCAAAGTCTGTTTAAATAAGCAATATGACAGCTCAAAAATAAAGGTAACTTAAAGGTGTGCACTTTGTTTTCCCTTGGTTTACCAATTCTCATGAGAAAAAATATACAATCCCTATTAATCCCAAGTGCAACGATGGCAGGTAGCACTTTACAGGGATTCTGAGAACTGTGTCAGTGACATGCTTTATGTTTTAGCCTAATCTAAAATGTTACTCAAATCTTCTTTTCCCTAATTTATCAACTGTGCGTCTAATTTGCACAGCTCAGCACACACTCTTTAGAAAAGAGTTATTTTGAGTTATTTCAAAACTCTAGGTAATTTTCACTTTGTGGTTGTACACTATGTGATTTGATCAAGCATCTTAAACCTTGGCAAACCTTTGGAAGCCATGTGGGCATTTGTGGGGGGCGGGGGAGATAGGAAAATTCCTGTGAGTTTTTGGTAAATGCCAAGTGGGAGAGGCCACTGGGGCTACTTAGGAGACTCTCAGGGTCACATGGGTCCTAGATGTGGGCCAATGTCATGTGGGCTAGACTACTGATTCCAGTGCTAGAAAATAATTTTTGTACGAAAAGCTCAGTGCCCCTTGGAATGGGGTGGAGTGATGGATTGGAGGGGGAGTTGGCATTTCCGTTGTTTCATTCCTCAGTCAGAACCACAGGCAGGGTAAGTCATTCTCTTACCTGTACTGAGTGTCCTGGCCCGGCTTGTAGAACCAGTGTGGCTGCTCCCAGCCCGCGTGGAACCCCATGGAACACTTGGACTCCAGGATTTTGTAGAGCCCACTGACTCGCTGAGTTGGTCTCCCGGCAAACCGTTCTTCCTTAGGATAACCAACTGGAAAAGAATAATTGGTATGTTAAATAGTGTATAACCCAAACAGGAGAGAGTACTTTGAAGGAATTCAGAAAGAAATAGTATATATAATTTACGTTTTTAAAAAGCCATCGTTATACTGATCATCAGAGTGTAAAGTAAAAATATATTTAAAATTTCAAATCAGCAATACATGTCACACATTAAATACATACATTTGGCTGGGTGCAATGGCTCACGCCTGTAATCCTAATACTCTGGGGGCTAAGGGAGGTGCACTGCGTGACTCAGAAGTTTGAGAGCAGCCTGAGCAAGAGCAAGACCCCATCTCTGCTTAAAAAAAAATAGAAAACTGAGCTGGGTATTGTGGCAGGCACTTGTAGTCCTAGCTACCTGGGAGGCTGAGGCAAGAGGATTGCTCAAGCCCAAGAGTTTGAAGTTGCTGTGAGCTATGATAACACCATGGCACTCTACCTAGGGCTACCGAGTGAGAGTCTGTCTCAAAAAAATATACATACATACATTCATATACATCCCTTGTTGTGTCTTAGAAACATGATAGTTTTTTCAAGTCACTAACCATCCCCACCTCAATGAACAGAGTAAAGAGCATTCAAAGTCAGAGGCGCGACAGGTCGAGTCTGTCAACACTCTGTAGACAACAGCAAATTTGCACCTTACCAATATTGTTGAATCCATATGATTCTCTTGCTTTGACCTCGGTGTACTGAGTTGTTGTCCATTTGCCATAGCGATTAGGATCCAATTCTATCAGGTCAAAAGGAGGTTCTCCATGCAGGATCCACTCACTGAGATACTTCCCTACCCCACCAGCGTGGATTATGCCGTATCTTTCAAATACAGAGACAGATAACCTGTTACTGACATATGTTGTTTTCAAATAACAAAACACGCCTAAGTATTAAACAAGGCCCCAAAGTTGGAGTGCTCTGAGCTATTCAGAACCCTCGAGGAACATCATCTTTATGCTATCAACTTTTTCCTGAAAAACGACACGTTTAGCATCCAAGTTAAATATGTCTGACTTGATAGCTGGTTTGTTTCCGCAGTTTCTCGAGATGCATGCTTGCAAAATGGCTCCTTATTGGGAAGAGGCGCACTGATCCTGGATTTCTACCTGGTAAGGATTTTCACTTTAGGAAAATGAGAGGTTGAGGGGAGGGGCAAACAGGCAGATGTGAATGGTACCTCACCAGTCCTCTTGAGCTAGGATTATCCTGACTGACAGGAGACCCTGGGGGAGAAACATGTGTACTGTAGACTGTCTGCCTCTTCTCAGACTCAATCTAGTTCTGATCCCCTTAGGCAAAGACCTCTGTGCAAGGAACTCGAACCATTGTTTTAGAAGCATTTAGGCAAAGAATCCCTCACTGGTGTCTTGTGGGGACGAGGTAGGAAGCAATGCAAGCCCCTGTGTTTTCAAACTAATGGGTCACTTGGTGGGAAAGGTGGGCTTGTTGTCCATTCCTATAAGAAGAGATTTAAAACCAAGAGCGTGATTGTGGCAAATAAAGGGGTTTTTTTGTGTTTGGTTGTTTTTTTGCAGTTTTGGCTGGGGCTGGGCTCAAACCCGCCACCCCCGGTATATGGGGCCAGCGCCCTACTCCTTGAGCCACAGGTGCCGCCTGCAAATAAAGGTTTTTTGATATCAGTCAGAATGGAGGAGGGTCAGTTTTACACTGGCCATGTGCAATTCCATTCACTCTTGCCTAACAAAGGCCTTCACTGTGGGTTCATTTGCGGTTTAAGTCAAGAAGCTTGGGAGGAATTGAATGAGCCAAGAGTGGAAAGAGGACCAAGGAAAGGAGTTATATAAGCAGATGCCAAGACACAGAAACGCAGAACCACAGGTGCTAAGGGAATGGGAGGAACTTTAGAAAGGCTGAAAATGTTAACTAACTTGCCTACATCATGACACCAGTTTTGCTCTTTTATGAAAATGAAAGCCTAAATTTGTTAGAAGAATATGTCTCAAGGAGGAAGAAAAGGCAACAATTTTTATTTTTTTTATTTTTTTATTTTTTTTTTATTTATTTTTTATTTATTTTTTTATTTTTTTGCAGTTTTTGGCCGGGGCTGGGTTTGAACCCACCACCTCCGGCATATGGGCCAGCGCCCGACCCCTCTGAGCCACAGGCACTGCCGAAAAGGCAACAATTTACAGTTCTCTGGGCAGTTTAAAAAAGAAACATGGGCCATTCAAATGATCTAGATCCGACCTCTCTAAATTTCAAGAAAACAGAAAAAAGTATTATATACGTACTTAAAACGTTTATTAAAACTCACTTAACTGGCCCAGTGTTGATTTAGATTAGTTAGCATTTTTGAGAGCTATGGATACTGTTTACAAGAATTGAAGCCTACGAGGTTTGGCTGACATCAATCGCATACTTACTTTCACCAGGTATTATTTCCATCTCACATGTATGAACTAAGTTGTCTTCTCTCAAGTCTATTTTACCAATGAGAAAGTTACACTGGGGCTAAATAAGGTCACACAGCAATAAAGAGCAGATTCAGGACTTCCAATCAGTCGTCTGATGCAGGCAGCATACTCCTTGCCATTGGACTTTACTATCTTCGGGGGTTCTCAATCCCAAGAGTTCAAGACCAGCCTGAGCAAGAGTGAGCCCCCATCTCTACCAAAAAATAGAAAAAGTAACTGGCATTGTGGTGGGCGCCAGTAGTTCCACTTGGGAGGCTGAAGCAGAAGGATCACTAGAGGCCAGGAGCTTGAGGTTGTTGTGAGCTAGGCTGATGCCATAGCACTCTACCCATGGCAACAGAGTGAGACTCTGTCTCAAAGAAAAAAAAACTTAGTCCAGCCAAGACACACCCGACAGATACTGTACTATTTACATGGGTGACAAACTCCCAGGGCAGAGCCACACTGTTACTTTGGTTTCCTAGGGTCTAGCTGCTACACCCCTATTTTCTTTCCCTTTCTGTGATACATGTGAGCAAAGAAATGGGCTCTGGGCTATAATTTGGAGGTGAGAGTAGATAGGAAGGAATCCTGAATCAAATCTAAGGGAAAGGAAGAGCAGAGAAAGAGAAGGAGGGAGGGGATGGGGTCTTGGTGTGTGTGCCACACCTTTGGGGGGCAAGACACGATTGTAAGAGGGACTTTACCTAACAAATGCAATCAGTGTAACCTGGTTTCTGGTACTCTCAATGAATCCCCAGTAATAATGAAAAAAAAAAAACCAGAAAAACAGTAAATCTTTTATAAACCAGTCCTCTAACCATTAACAAGCTGTATGTAAAATGCCATACAACTGAAACAAAACATCTCTTATAAACCCATAGCTTAGCAGCTAAAGGTCTAACAGCACAGAGAAAGAGATCTGGATACGGTTCCTGGTCTGCCACTGTCTGCCACTGACCTGTTCTGTCACGCTGCTGTGTGACCTTGAGCAAATTATAAAACCACCCTAAACTTCAGTTTTCTCATGTTCTCATTTTCTTTATGGTGTTGGTGGAGAATTAACTGTCACGGCATTGAAAAGCATTTGGTACACTGCGCAGCACACCAGAGGCAAACAGTCCATGGTGCTATCGGGCCCTATGTGACCAACAACAGAGGATGCCTGTGCAGAGCTGCAAGGATTTTAATAAGGAAGTAAGATGTGAAGGGGGGATAGAGGGGCACTTTATGAGGAGAGGAGAGTTAGGTTCTTCTATCTCTAGCATTAATCTGCACAACCACATTCTTCTAAATGACCCCTGGCCGCTCTGCCTTTTGGGTGTTTTTGTCTGTGTCTGATAACTCAGTGACATTATCGCTTGTTCACAGCTCAGAGTGTGGCTTATGGAGGGATCCTCAATTTCTATTACTAAAGGCCAATTGCAATATCAAAAAGGATAAACTACTTAGGAATAAATTTATCAAAAGAAGTGCAAAACTTACACTCTGAAAACTACAAATCACTGTGAAAGGGCAGGCTTGCTACAATATCAGAAAAATGATCTAGCTCCTGGTTTCTCAGGAAGAGCTAAGATCATCTGTGAGCTTTCTTTCTCTCCCTCTCTTGGTGACAGGCACCTTGTGGGGGGCTCTGTGTTCACATCTTAAAGGAGCTAAACAGACAGAAAGGAAATGTAAATTTTTATACCTATTGACCAAAAACCTCCTTGTGGAACTTGCTTTTTACAGCTTTACAGTCTTGGAGAGCTCCTGAACAGGGAGGTGCAAGTTACAGACTCCAGTTCCTGCTTTAAAAAGCATAACTCTAGGGCAGAATCCCTGACGAGATCACAATGACCAGTGATAAGCCTGTCTTCCACTTCTGCCACCAGCTTGCCTCTAAAATGAGAGAACTAGCAGAGGAAATGTAGCAGTGTTAATTTGTCTATAGCCATAAATTATCTCCACCAACCCCCCCTTTACAGCCTCTAATAAAAAGCATAAATAGGGGCGGGGCCTGTGGCTCAGTGGGTAGGGCACTGGCCCCATGTACTAAAGGTGGCAGGTTCGAACCCGGCCCCAGGCCAAAATGCAACAAAAACAACAACAAAAAAGCATAAACACCTGCCAGGCATGGTGGCTCACACCTGCAATCCTTGTACTCTGAGAGGCCAAAACACATGGATTGCTTGAGCGCAGAAGTTCAAGACCAACCGGAATAACAGTGAGAGCCCATCTCTACTAAAAAAAAAAAAAAA